TAGCAGATCATGATAATATTTAACAAATTATTTATGTGAATGATGTTGGAATTCAGTAGATCATAGCGAAACTTTTTTATACGTTATTACTGATGGTGGGGTGAAAGCAGCCGTACATACATCATGTGTACACAACATGAATCCTAGCGAGGACTTCAGTCCATGAACAACGTTGGGGGATTGGTCCATTGAGGCGTGTGATGTTATATAGGAGATTGATATACGTAATATTATAGAGTATACTACATTTTTTAAACGATCATGTGTCTTTATTATTATTATTATTATTTAAAAAAATTATAATTGGGATCGTCTGGGACATCTTCATGGGCGCCATCTTGTATCGTTGTTGTGAACGATTGCTTTAAATTAATAAACGCAGTTGAGCTACAAATTTATTTACCGCTTTTATGTCACTCATTACATTTTCTAATCCAGTTCTAATGCTGAGATCCTTCCCCCTTAACCATATAAGATCGCATCCTCAGTCAGCTTCCCTTTTCTTCTACCGCCCCTCAGCTATTTAACCTGCCGCCTTTCCTTATTCGCCCACCCTCTCTCCCTTAACAAGATAGCTATATTATTCAGTTTTCTTCAGTCTGTAATGTACGCCCAAGACGTTCCTCGCTCATGCGCAATGTCTCCCGAGAAGAAGTATATTTTGCAAACATTATGCATTTAATTTTAAGAGGAGGTATTCCAGCATAGATTTATATGATAAGATTTCATCAGTAGACCTCACTTAGGAAATAGGAGGAAGATCTTGCGTGTAAGGTGCCCGCTGCATATACCCGTCAGTACATAATCTGGCTATACGTTAGTGTGAGCGCGCATGCGCAATATCTCACCAGAGGAGGTATATTTTGTGACGAATATGCATTTAATATGGTTAGGGGGTATCTCAACATAGATTTATGTAATAAATTGTTATCAGTAGACTTGTGTTTATAATTAGGAGAGCGCCCTAGCCTGCAGGGTGCAAAACTCCTACTTCATCCACACCCGTCCTTTCTTTTGCCTTCCTTGTCTCCCGCCTAGCCTCCGTCTTCTTCTACCGGCCATCTGCTATCTTTCCTGCCCCCTTTCCTCAGGCTCTCACCTTTCGCTCTCAGCAAGCTATATTATGCAGACTTTTCAGTCTGTACTGTACGCTCAAGAAGTTCCTCGCGCATGCGTAATATGTCCAGAGAGGAATAATATTTTGCAAAAAATATGCATTTAAAATGAAGAAGAGGTATTAATTCTAGCATAGATTTATATAATTACATCCCATCAGTAGACCGCTCTTACGAAATGTGAAGTAGACCTTGCATGTAAGGTTCCCGCTGCATATACTAGTCAGTACACAATCTTGTTACGTTAGTGTGTTAGCGCACGCGCAATCTCTCACCAGATGAATTCTATTTTGTGTATGTATTTCATATGGTTAGGGGTTATCTCAGCATAGATTTATGTAATAAATTGTTATCAGTGCACCTGTGTTTATAATTAAGAGAACGCCTTATCATGTAGCGTGCAAAACACCTACTTTTCCCGTCCTCTCTTTCGCCTTGACTCCCTTGTCCCTTGCTCAGCCTCCTTCTTCTTCTACGGCTTATCAACTTCGCTGCCAGGTAGCACACCGCGCGGGTTGGTGCAATTCACAGATGATTCGTTCTTGGAACAAGCTGGGGATCATCAAATATCGTGAGTGAAAAATAATTTTACTGTATGATGTAAGAGAGCGAGAGAGGAGAGAAAGATATATTGATAGTTCGAGAGAGAACGTGAAAGCAAAAAATATGTAATTATATAATAAAGAAATAAAAAAAGAGAGAAACACAGAGAGACTGAGAGAGAGATTGAGAGAGAGAGAGAGAGAGAGAGAGAGAGAGAGAGAGAGAGAAGAGAGAGAGAGAGAGA